AAAAAAAAAAAAAAAAGAGTAGAAGATGCTCCGGGCAGTGGTGGCGCACGCCTTTAATCCCAGCACTCGGGAGGCAGAGCCAGGCGGATCTCTGGAGTTCAAGACCAGCCTGGTCTACAGAGTGAGATCCAGGACAGGCACCAAAACAACACAGAGAAACCCTGTCTTGAAAAACAACAACAATAAAGAATAGAAGGTGCAAGCCAAGGGTAGCCCGTGACTTTAATCTCAGCACTGGAGAGGCTGAGGCAGGAGGCTTGCCATGAGTTCAGCATCAGTCTGGGCTACAGAGTGAAACTATGTCTCAAAAAAATTCAAAAATTTGTGTTTGCATTTCACTGATTGTGGAGCTTTTCCATTTGAATGAGGTATGTCCTGATTCAGTTATGATTGGCGTTCTGTATCATTCACCACTTCAGGTGTGTGGTACAGTGATGTTTAGAATGTTCCAGTTGTATGTTGTGCGCCCAGCTGATTTAAGAAGAAACATCCCCTGTGAACCATTATTGCAATGCCCTCTTAGTCCCCCGTTGCTTTATCTCTCTATGAGTCTGCCCATGTACCCATTTCACACTATGTGGTCATCTGTGACCGGTCATAATATTTTCGAGGTGTAGTAAGTCTCCATGCCTGAAAAATGCTCTAATGGGATGTGCTACATGTTGTTTCTTCCTAAGTTGTTAGAAACTTGAGTTGTTTACATATTTTACAATTAATTTTTATCTACTTTGTGTGTGTGATATATGTATGTGAATGTAGGTTCTCATGTAGAGGTCAGAGGACAACTTTGAGGAGTGAGGTCTCCACAGTTGTGCAGGAGAGACCCAGCTCCAACCCCACCAGCAATGAACAGGAATTCCAGTTTCTCCACATTTTCCCCAACATTTGTCAGTGTCTTTTGGGCTTTAATTGCTCTGATGGGACTGAGGTCATCAGATCTTAAAGCTTGAGCAGCTTTGTACTGAAAGAAGCAGGAGCTCAGGGAAAGGACAGGTCCTCATGGGGTAAATCCCAGAAGCTGTAGGGGACTACAGGTTGAACCTCAGATGAAGCCATGACACTGGCTGACTTTGCTCTCTGTTTTCCAGGTTTGGCTTTGTTCTGTTCTGTTCTTTTTGTTTTGTTTGCAGTACTGGCCTGAACCCAGGCCTTTACACACCAAGCATACACTCTACAATGAGTCACACCCCAGCCCTGAAGCTGCTTGGCGTCTGATGCTCTTGTTTCTTGTGACTCACAGGTGGTGGTCACTAATACCATCCCACATGAAATCCAGAAGCTGCAGTGCCCCAAGATCAAAACCGTGGACATCAGCATGATCCTCTCAGAAGCCATCCGCCGCATTCACAATGGAGAGTCCATGTCCTACCTTTTCAGAAACATAGGCTTAGATGACTGAACATTTCTCCCATGGCAGAAGTCAAGTGGGAAGCCCAGCGTGCATGCTGGGAGGGCCCATGGCTGGCCAGGTACTCCTTTCCTCTCCCTATATCCTCCTGAGTGATTCCTGTGAAGGTACAAGGACCAACTTTTTATTGTCGGTTTAGGTTTTTGTGAGTTTGGGGGGTAATTTTTATAACAGAAAGACCTCCTCTTAAATAAAATAAGTTAAAACCTGATCATTTTTAGTGTAACCATTTAAAAAAATACACTTGAGTGAAGTTTTTATGCTCAGCCTTTTTTTAAAGTTGCTTGATCCAAGTGTTCAAAAAAGTTACATAACATGACCTGCTGTCTACTATCTACAGTCAAAAAGCTGCTGTTGGTTCCCGTACATGACATTTTTAGAAGTGCTTTTATAAATGGGCATATAGAGTATGTGGCTATTTATTCTCTGCAACAAAAGAAAGAATAAAACCTCATGTTTGTTTTTTAAGCCTCTGTATGTGGACAGTTTTCTGTTTCTGGAATAGACGGCCACTGAAGACCCGAGTCCCGCAGCTGCTCATGTCTCCAGCTTCTGAGCTCTGGTATAGCACTGTGTGTGGTGATGCAGCCCTCGTTCTTACGGGTCCTCAGAAGCCTGGGAGTCCCTGACACAGAGGTGCTTAGTTGAAGCAGAAGTGGGCTGGGCACACAGCTTCATCACTGTGGCTCTGCCTTTTTCAGAGTCCAGCCAGTCCTCAAACCAAGATGCAGTAACTTATGCTGAGTGAGAGGCTCTGTGGGTGGGGCTTGTCAGTGTCCAGAACGAAGGATCGTCGGTCTGTCTTAAGCGTTTCAAATTGAGATTTCTTTTTTTAAGGTTTCTTTTTAGTGTGTGTGTGTTTGTTTTACTGCATGTATGTCTGTGCACCACATACATGCCTGGTGCCTGCAGAGTTCCAAAGAGGGCATTGGATCTCCTGAAATTGGAGTTAACAAGTGTTTGTGAGCAGCCACCATGTGAGTGCTGGGAACCGAACTCAGGGCCTTTGCAAGAGCAGTGGGTGCTCTGAACCACTGAGCTATCTCTTCAGCACCTGAAGCTTACAGTTCTGTCCCTCTTCATATTCTAGCATGGAGCTGGCCTAATCCCAGAGTGTTGGTGCCCCACACGGCCTGCTCTCTTAGCAGCCTCACTTTACTAAGGAAAAACCAGGTGTCCAACCCTGAGTTTGAAAACACATCTTTGCCTGCAATCCTGGAAGGAAGGAAGGAGTTCCAATCTTTACAAATAGGTGGGCCTGGGGTGAGTCTCCCCGACAGCTGCTGGGAGCACTGTCACCAGATGAGGGAACTCCGTTCTGACCTGTGCTAAAGAAACTTCGACTGTGAATGACCCTCTGTTCTGTGGCTTTTCTCCTGCTGCCATAGACAGCAGGAGAGGAAGTAGCTGGCATTTCCCTTTGAACCAGGACAGCGCTCTCTAGTGGTCTTGGGTATGTAGGTCCCTGGTGGCACTTCAGCCTTCGCTTTGATCCAGGAGGATGGGTCACTGTGAATGCTGTTTGAGGAGTGTGCTTTCCGGCACTTGTGGTAGGAAGCTTCCTGGGTTGCTGTGGCCACTGTGGCGCCAGGCCTGTTGTCCTCTAGGTGCCATCAACAAGGCAGCCACATTTACAGAAGAGAGGTGAGTAAAGGAAGGTGAGTAATGGAAGCAGTGGCCTCTTGATAGAAAACTCAGACCTCGCACGTGCTCCAGGGCAGCATGAGGTTGAGGTCTCTTTGGGAGGACCCCACAGCTTGGCATGAGGAGGGTCCTGACTCCAGCTGCCATAGGGCTTATCAGAGAGCCAAGAGCATGGAGAAGCTATGCCAGAGGTATCAGAATATGGAGGGTATGCAGGTGCGCATGCCCAGGCCCACATGTGTGAAGCACCGTGTGTATTCATGGTTAGAAAGGGCCGTGGTGCTGAGGGCCCTGGGATTGCCAGAAAGGAGGACATATCTAGCTTGAGCTCCTACCCACTTACTTCCCTCTCAGAGTAAACCTCTGCAACAGGTTTGAAACTTCAGTTTCCCAGACTTGTGCTCAGCCAGAGGCACCCTCAGCAGACTGCCTTCTCCACTTGGCAGTCAGAGACGATGTGGACTTGAATCCTAATCCCATAACAGAAAAAAACTCTAGGTTGGGCATGATGGCACAGCCTAGTAATCTCAGCAGGAGTGCTGGGAATTGAAGCCAACCTGGACTACCTAGTGAGATCCATACCTGCCTAGGACGGGCCGGGGGTGTAGTTAGAGTTTACACTGCCTGTGCCAGCTGTTGACAGATGTGTTAAAAATGAATGTATTGTGCCATCAAGAACGCAGGGTAGTAAGTACTGAGCGAGCACCACGGGTGGCTGTAGAGCCAAACACCAGTTCAGCCATCACTGTGCAGGGGTGGTCACCACTTGGCCCTCAGTCTCTTCTTTGCTCCAAGACCAGTCAAGCTAGTGAGAGGGCGGGGCCCTAATGAATCTTGAGAATACATCCACGGGTGGAGAAGTAACTCTCCAGTTGGCTGCTTAGGCCAGGAAAGAGCATAAGGCGTGTTGACCACTCACTACCTCTGTTTGCTCAGAATGACCAATCTCAATGAAGATTTCGATGTTCTTCCAGGTCCCGTGATGTTCTTCCAGGTCCCGCCACTATAAGGTCCAGAAAGGCTCTGGGCTCTGGCCCTTGGGACCTCTCCCATTTTTGGGAGTTCTCTCTTACATTCACTCTGCTTGTGTGTCTGAATTCCCTTTTCTTGGTGTGAGTCAGTGACCTCAGAACCCACTGACTCCGGTGGTTTTGGTGACCATTGGTCATCAATACCTTAGCTCTCCAATCCATCACTATTAAAGAGCCCCACTGAGACTGCTATGGGGTGCACTGGGTGGATCTACCTCTAAGTTACACTTTCTGTCTCTACCAAGCACCCCACCTTCTCAGCCCATGGCCAGACCCACTTGCCGATGGCCTCGGCTGCAGCCTCATTCCAGGGTACGTGTCTGGCAGTGGTGTCATTCTGTCCAGGCCCAGATGGTGGTGCCCTCTTCCCCCTGTCCTGGCAGGGCCTTGTAGAACCCACTTGGAACTGTATAGCTGTTAGGGTGAATAAAGACATGGCCCGTGAATAGGGCATGCTATTTATTATGACTTTACCTACTGAGCTCGCGCTCGCGCGCTCTCTCTCTCTCTCTCTCTCTCTCTCTCTCTCTCTCTCTCTCTCTCTTTCTCTTAGTCCTGCTGCTTTACCCGCTCACTTGCTCCATCTCAGATCTTTTATACTTCCTCAGCCTGGGGATTTTGGCGTGTGATTTGACTTCGATTTTTACCTTGTGGGTTTTCTGGTTGATTCGCTCTGTCTTCTCTGATCTGCTGGCTCCTGGCTCCTTCCAATGCTGGGATTTCTCCTTTCATAAAAATAGGACAATGACTTCCTAGTGGATTGTTCTCACATCAGAGCTCCATGCCCAAGTTTAATCAGGAAAAAGCCTCTGGCCGGATTTCCCACGGCTCTTCCCTTTCCTAGGCCCTGGCTAACTACTATTACTCCTGTGTCTTACTGTGAGCAACCTGACAGTTCACTTTAGCTCTTCTCGATTTGAACAAAGTCAACTCCAGATGGTTTATAAATGGAACCCACTATGAAAATACCTCCCAATTTCTACGTGAGTCCCTAGTTCTTCCCCCTGGGCTCCAGGGCCTAGAGGGTCTTCCCAACTGCCAGCCCTCTCTATCACCTCTACCCCACTAATGGCAGTAAAGGATTCTGTAGCACGAATCTTAAAAGTTATTATTGGTAAAAAACAAACCCAGAGCCAGGTATTGGGGTGAACGCTGGAAGATCAGAGAAGCAGAACAGGCCACAGCTAACCTCACCTTGCTAATTGCTCAGCTGATCCTGTTTCCTCAGACTGGAAGCCTCTGTGTTCTCATCCAAAATGAATCTCAGCTGAACTGCTGCTCAAAAGCCTAAAAGCTTAACCAGCTGTAGTTCCTCGTCCTCACGCTTTAAATACCTTTCTGCCTCTTGCCATTACTTCCTGGGATTAAAGGCGTGAGTCACCATGCTTGGCTGTTTCCAGTGTGGCCTTGAACTCACAGAGATCCAAATGGATCTCTGCCTCTGGAATGCTAGGATTAAAGGTGTGTGCTACCACTGCCTAACCTCTATGTTTAATATTGTGGCTGTTCTGTTCTCTGACCCCAGATAAATTCATTAGAGTGCACAATAATTTAGGGAACATAGAACCACAGAATTCCTCTCTGGAGAAAGAATGAGGCAGTGGTTAAGCTCCCCTTAGGCACAAATGTGTGCTCATGGTGGTTGGAACTAGTCAGTGATAAATGGAACACTCCCTTTGAATGATCAAGTAACTCTCCAGCTGGATTAAGGAAGCATAAGGCAAGTGGTTTCCTTTGTGGTTGATCCACTGTGTGTTTAAAAATGACCAGTCCTGGGCCAGCAAGGTGGTTCAGTGGGTGAAGGTGCTTGCTGCCAAAGCTGAGTTTGATCCTGGGCCCCCACATAACGGAGAGAACTTCCACAAATTATCCTCTAACCTCTGCATGCATGCCATGGCATACACACGTGCACACAATACAGATACATAAGTCAAGGTATATTTTCTTGTAAATGATCTCAGCCTCCATCCAGTTCCCACCATGAGATCTGTAAAATACCAATGGCTCTGAATGTTAATTATCCAACACTCAAAGTCCCCAGGATAAACACACACAGATCTGCCTGCTTAGCCACACGTGGCAGAGCTGGAGTGTACCCAGCAGTCCCTCTTGGCCTCACTTTGTCTGCTTTGATCTGAATCTGAATTTCGTTGAGTAGCCGACTGCCTACCTAGCCATTGGGTGGTAATTAATATTTAGACTTAAAAGTTGAAAAAAAAAAGTTGCTAACTTCTGTGATAAGTGTAATGGAAATTACTACCCTTATTGACTGCCACTGTATGCCAGACGTCCCAACCCATTAGCCTTAGCACTCCCTGTCCGAGGTACAGGGCAGCTGGCTCAGAGGGCATTAACCAAACACCCACGGTTCCTGCTCGTGCATGAAGGTGGTACTGGAGCTGTTGGGATCTGAGCAGGGTGGTGGTAGCCTCAGCAACTTAGGTTGTGCCCGCACCCGCAACAGGACAATTAGAAAACCAGAAAGGAGGTATATTCAACATGGCCACTTTGGGAAGAGGAGCCAAGAGGTCCAGTGAGCCCCTCCACCCTAGACCTCTTCAGGCGCAGCAGTCCTGGTCGGAGTGTCCCGCTGTCTCAGCTCTAGTCTTTCCTCCAGGGTGGTCTGACAAGTTGTGAATCTTTCTGGGGACAACTTGCCCAGCCCAGGCTTCAGCCTTTTTCTTCTCTCAGCGTGAGATTCCTGGGGGAAATTGCAGTTTCTTGGGGCCCATTGTTCAATAGACTGATAGGCATGGGGTGCCTTATGGGTCAGGGAAGCTCAGAGGCGCCCAA